GTGACCAAGCTGAACATTCTCGATACTTAAATCGAGACAGAGAGTGAGACTGCCAAATCAACGATAGTGAAGGAAAGGATCTTGAAGAGGTTGAACAACATTGATCACGAGATTCAAGTTCATCAAGGCCTTGTGGCGCGCCTTAGTCAACTTTTGGAAGAGCAGGAATCCTTGTCTGACGAACTCAATGAAGAATATGACTGTCTGTCCACAAGATTTAAAAGACTTGACATCATATAGAATTGATGTACTAAGGAAAATGAACGGTTGGAAGAATGTTTGTCTGTCTTTTGTTAGCACTCTAAATCAGCATGTTAACCCTATGTAGTCTATTGAAACTTTAATGAAGCATTCTTTTTTAAATCAATGCATAACATCGACTTGGTGTTCTTTAAACTACGCAAAATACAATTGCAAGAAGAGGATTGCGTCATCAATAACCCCCATGTTACTAGATTTTACTTTATTATGAGTACATCATACTACAAAACAAAAATCAATTAAAACCTACGATATCGTTGGATTTGTTTTTGGTTTTCCTTCAACTGCCTTTGATCAAATAAAAGGAATCCAAGTTGGTTTCGGTTTGGTTTAGTTCAATCAATGGCTTGAATTGGTTTTTTTATTTGTTAGTATTCCCATGTAAAAACCGGCGCTTCATTACAAGATGTGGCGATTAATGACAGCACAATGACTCTTTGTTAAGGATCTCTTGGGGCATACAACAAATTCATTTTCTTTCTAGTTCTTCCCCTATGCCTTTCATTACGAGTCCCAATCACTTGGATCTTCTCATCACATCCACACTTTCTCTCTAGGTCTTCCTCTGGATTGTCTCCGCTCTCGCTTAGGCAAGCTTTCGCCTTTTCCTTTCCCTCTTCCTTTTGTTACGCCTTATGTAGTGCTTTTTTAGAATTCTCGAGAATGCACGAGTAGGGAAAAAAAAGAAAAAGACAAACCCGAAACCCGACCTGACTCGGAGAACTACCCGAAGTTCTTTACTTAATACTTGAACTGGATGAGACCTGAACCGAAAATACTTGAAAATTTCTCTTCAGGTCGGGTCGGGTCAAGTAAAATTGACACCCAATCAAAATGTGGCTTAAATTTAATAAAGCCCAACTTGTGTCCATGGCCTAGACCCGCAAAGTCCGATTTTAGTCCACATATTAGGATCTGGCCCGAGTCCCCATTTTTTGGAAATATAGATTAAAAAATAAAAACAATCGAAAAATTGGTTATCGAAATAACCTCTGATTAGGCTATTAGATTTGAGTATCAGAATTGGTTTAGTTTCATTTAGATAGTATACACATGATTTAGGATAGTTCATGATTTCCTCTAGTTTAGATTTAGCGAATTAGTCACTTTGGAAATTGAAGTCAATTTGAACTAAGCTCATAGGGGATTGTCGTTCTAGAGCTTAATAACAAGGCCATGTAATATTCTTTGCCCAAATCGTAACAAGTTACTTATTGCACTACATTGTTTTACTCATTCTTCATTCCTCTCTCATATCAATTGATTGTGATTATTTTATATTGTTTTCTTATGTGGTGATCTGCTTTCTTTAGCTGAATGGTTAGGTTACCGTTTTAGGATTAAAATAAACATGAATAAAAACATCGCACGGACACTTAGCAGGCAAGAACTTTAGGACTAATAACTGGTAAACAGATTACATGGACACTACAAATAATCAAGTTTAGGTATCGAAATAGCACTAGTTAGAATTATTGTAATCAAGTCACCAACCCTAACTCTCTGTTTGCGTAAGAAGTGAGGTATACTTCCATAGATCACTTGATTTCTAGCTGATCCCAATAAACTAGTGGACTCCTCATTTTCGTAGGGTTAATCGAAAATAAAATTGAATATTTCAACGTTGAGCTAGGTAAGGGTTTAGGAGAACCTGCGCTGAATAGGGACCGTTGGTTCACCTTTGGCATTACCTCTAAACCTCATCCTTTTCCCCTCAACGGAAAAGAGGGTCGCGACAACTTGGTGACTCCAATGGGAAAACGAACGAGGTTAGAGGTAATGTCGAGTTGGGTACCAATGATCCTCAATCCGCACAGATTCCCCCAAACCCTTACCTCGCTTGACGTTGGAAATTAATTTCAATTAACTCTATCAAAATTCTAAATGAAGAGTCACCACTAGCCTATTGGGGTTGGCTAGAAACCAAGTTAGGTATGGGAATATACTTCACTTCCTACACAATCAGAGATTTAAGGTTGGAAACTATATTACACTAGTTATTTAACTAGTATCTTTTTGGTACTTAAAATTGATTTTTTGTTAACTAAAGTGTCTATGCAATCATCGTATCTAATTATGAGTCCTAAAGGTCATTCAAGCCGCTAAGTGTCCATGCGATGGTTTTGTATTTATTATGGTCCTAGGATGTAACCTAACCATTCAACTAAGAAAATGAATCAAAACACACAATCGATATAAAAACAATCACAACAAACAAACAAATCAGGAATAGTAATGAAAGTGAATAAAATGGTGAAGTGCAGTAAAATAACCGAATACAAATTGGGCAAAGAATATAACATGGCCTTATTATTAAGCCCTAAGACAGCAATACCATGAGCTACAAGCAAATCGAATCCAATTTGTTGTTTAAAAAATCCATCTACCAAGACTAAACTATAACAAAGGTCACTAAAATCTCTAAACTATATGAATATCAAATAAATGAAACTATGCTAATTATAATACTAAAATCTAACAACCTAATCAAGGCCTATTTATCTAACCAATTTTCTAATTTTTTATTTTCGGATTTTTTAATTTTTAACTCATTCTTTTTTTAATAATTTTTTATTCTCAGTCCATCTTCTCCAGAAAACGCAAGCTTCTTCTTTTCCCATCTCTACACAGGACACTCTAATTCAAATTTTCCAACTCAAATTCTCGGCCAAATCTTTATCATCTCTATTCAAGTAACAAACATACAAAGTTACTTATCCAGAATCTATCAAACCATTCAAAATAGAATCCTCTCAACTACAAAACATCTTCCTTGGAAACCACTATAGCTGAACATTTCAAGATAGTACAAATAGTATATAAGCATCCAGAATTTGCCCAAGATCAACACGTATGAACTTGATCCACATACTGTCAAAAAAAAAAGAACTTGATACACAGAATCATTTACCCCCACCATTGATCATCTCTGACCATCACCAGATTTACAGTCTTTCAACATTTACAACTGTATGTTTGCTAAAAAGCACAAGATACAGATATCAAAAATGGAACCACAACAGAGAAACTAACTCAAATATCACCAGAGATCAAAGAGTGTATCAGTGATTCCAGTTCATGTTCTCACCACAATCGCCAACCACCAACACCAAGACATACAGACTAGAAAACAGAGCAAATAAACATAGTGCAGAGAGAGTCTCAACAACAGGTCCAAGAATTTGCAACAAACACCATTGCCCATTCGCAAGTGCGGCATATCCAGTAAAGATAATCATTTAAACATGACCAGAAGAGGATGACAAGTTTGATCCATTAACAAGTATATGACCGTCAGAATCTATACGATTCTATTCACATTTAGCAAACCTATTGCGGTACCAATTTAGTTTAAGCTCAGGCTCAAATACATCTATAGCACTTTGACGGATAGAACACAAAAAACGAAAAAAGGACAAAGATCAAACAAGCCACATATAAAGGAGATCCTCAGTCTATGAACTAATAGACACATCAAATGATCAGTACGACAGACAAGTTCATCTCAGTCATGTCAAAACTCTCTCTAATTGTTCAATAACAAGAGTTCATCTAACTTGTGCATTTTCATCGAACAGGTAGAGTATCTCTCAGCTAAGGATCTCATATTCAATATAAGGACACCATTTAGACCACAAATCATCACATCAGCATTTCTCTGTCTCTACACTGGGCGAAAAAGTAATGGAGAACAGGTCATTGAACTTTACCTTGGACAGAAACTGGAATTCTCGCTCCGGCCGGAACAGAAAGTCCTAGGTGCGTGTGAGAGAGAACCTTCATTTGAATGGGCTCAGGTTTATATCTTTTCCGAGTGGGCTCTGTGTTCTTCATTTTTATTATTATTATTATTATTTTTTATTTGTTGATTTCCTTATTATTTATTTATTTATCTATTTTTTTTTGTTATTATCTTGTTGTTTTTAATTGGAACTTTTATAAGAATGAACACTAGCATTGATGACCAAAATCCAGGTGTCGACAAGGGCTTCTTCAAGGGAGAAAAGAAATTAAGACACCATTGCCCCTATTCCTTTCTATTATTTCTATCAAGGCTCTCTCTAAAGTCGATGACTTTAAGATATTCTTCAATGGCTGTTTGAAATCTTCAATGTACTCCATATATTGCAAAGCATTCTCTGGATTGAAACTGAATCCCGATAAAATACAATTGTTTTTGGTTGGATATGAGGATCGATACTGTGCTGAGTTGCTTCAATTGAATGGTTTTAAATATGGAAAATTGTCTGTTAAGGTTTAGGTTTGGGATCTTTCTCTTATCCCCAGAAGACTGAGTGACAAAGGATGTAGGTCCTTGATCAGAAAGATTCCAACTGGATGGACCGTAAAAACACCTCAATTATGCAGGTAGACCCCAACTGATCAAGTTTGTTATTATTTACAGCTTGATAAACTATTATTGTCAAATTTCTACCATGCCAAAGAAGTTGACATGAAATGCTCAACATTTGTGTAAAGGAAGGTCAGAGAATACTCATGGGGCCAAGGTTGCTTGGAAGAGGTTTGTTTGCCTAGAATTGGAGTCTTGTTTCTTTGTAAATGACATGTACACTAAATAGGATATGGTATTAGTGAGGCACGGAACAGCCCCGCATCCTAAGGCCTGTGGCTGGGCACTGGCCCATTAGATCGCGGACCGTTAGGGATCACACATGATATAGACCAGAATAATGAAGCTCAGACACATCAATAGCATGCCTAGAATTACCTCAAACATCGAAAGCTCATAAAAAAAATCAAGCTAGATTACTGAATATTTTGATGACAAAAATTAGCATCAGAAAAGTGATGCCTACACAGGGTCATGCAATAAAGTATCTTACAATCTGATAATCAAGTTAAAGCATGAAATGGACTTGTGATCACAGCTACAACCCTCAATAAACACATGAACATCTAGGCAAAAACTGATCCGGATGTGCATCACGCTTCCTTTCTCAGGTCCCTTGATAAAATTCCATGATTGAAAAAGCAGTAAACGACAATGCATTGTCAGTCAAAGTGCACTGAATCATTTGCAGACACTTTATCGTCAATAACGTTCACACAAATCTCTTTACTTAGAGGCCTATCTGAACAACATTATGATTATACAACTTTTTAAGATCTAGAGACAAGATAATTACAGTTAGCTGTTTCTGACACCACAAAACAAACAGCAGAGAATCTTATTATGCTAGAATCTGCACCAACGATGTCACATCTAGATTTGCACTTTTCATGTAGTATACAAAGAGTCAGAAAACTATTAGTTCATAAGTTATTTTGCGATGAGTTCACCTCAAGAATGGGAACTATCTTGAACTGCAAGTTTGACTTTAGGTTTAGTCAAATGAAGAGATTAACTGACAGGAATAAGAACAATGGCCATTATAATTAAAATAAACCAAGAATCAGGAATGAAGAGCAAGGATGTTGTCTAACTTCATTTTGAAGACCTTTATATTGCCTCGTGATTGAATACCACCATGCAAGAGAATTTATAGCTATAGGTATACTCAATCGTCACATGAGCATCATATCATACTGCCACAGCAAGAAACATTGCCACAGCGCCCTAATCCGAGCCATTCAATTGTTAACAGGCTATACTACAGAAAGGTCTCACCATGCAGCCCATTTGTTATATGCACAAGTAACTGATAATCGTTCAATATGCAGCAGAGGTGCTTCATAATACTATACATGATGTACATTATGTTCAGAAAAGCAAGGAATCATAAGTTCAACGGTCTTACCTAGTTGTGCAAAGGCATAAGAAGATTCAACAGGAAGAATCAATGCACATAGATCTAATGAGAAGCCTGAGTAACCCGTGACCTGTGAGGCTTTGGAGCTGAAAATCAAATATTAGCATTCAGCATACATATATATAAACAAATCATAGATTCCACAATGTCATAAACAGAGAATAAATGGAAAAGGAGGGGAAAAAAGGAGAAGAGAAATGATACTTCATGTAACAAGGTTCAACAAAACAAAGAAGAAACATGAACCAAATTGATTTTATCATTGCAAAGGCAAATTATTTAAGGCCATCTTTTCTGTTTTAAAGCATACTAATTATCTCAGAGGCATGAAAAGGTTATGGTCCTATCAGTCTCTTGAAATATTTGCAACTGAAGAGCACAAATTAGACATTTGCTCGACCAAGAACCATATAAGTTTAGTAACTCACAATAGGAATCAAGGAAGAAGATATTTCTCTCTAACGAGTCTAACCAATGGATGATCAACTATTAAGATACTGCACTTCATCTTTTCCTTAACCAAGGACATGACATCCCATTTTTCAAATGGCAATCTGGCTTAGGTATACCGAGTCTAGAGGTAAGCTACTTATGATTAACAGGGTATCTGAAAATCAGCCAAGAAAAAAAAAGACTGGGCATCTGGAAACTCTATCTTTTGTTTACTGGGCCAATTCGACACCTACTTATGGCAACTCTGAACACCGCTCCCCTCAAGCAACTATACTTAGTGTCAGTTTGGATGTGTGCACCATCTCAAGATGAGCACTCTTGAGCACCTTATCCTTGATGGAGAAAACTTCTGAATAGGTTCTTATCCAACCAATGACCCACTAGCTCGATGCTTGCAATTTCACTAACCCTTAAGTCATTACAAAACTTTCCATTGGGCCAGCTTTATTTACCTGGGATGTGCAAATATTTCTCCACATCAAGGATACAAAAACATATCTTCACTGCAGCAAACAATTTACATATGGACAAGTGCGAGAGAGAGAGAGACAGAGAGAGAGAGAGTTGTTCAGCAAGATCTATAATCACCAAAAGCCCCAGCTACAGTTCTTTCTCTAGCTGGTTGAGAGAATTGATTGAAAAGTAGAAATAAAAACAGGCTTCCTGAATTCTTCATAATCAATATGGAAGGGGATCAGTGCTAGGAAGATCATCGTATTAGGCTCTAAAAGATAAATTTTTCCAGAAAGGTCTTTCAGGGAGACGTTGCTAGCAGACACAATGCTCACCTTCATTGATTGATAAAGAAAACTTTCTTTCAAGGGTAGAATTTCTCTATTATGCTCATAAAAGCCTCCTCTAAAGTATTTAACTATGCGTCCATTGAAAACGAACTACCAGTTCCCTTGGGTTATCTAATGTAAATAGGTGCAAACTGCATTATAATAACATTCTTTCGAACAAACAGTTCAACTTATTAAAATGGTTGATCGCCATTTATACCATTAGGGTTTCCTCGTTCATAAAAATCTCGCAGAAGAGAAATGGCTTCTGATGCCATTATACCCCCACAGCATTTGAAACCCTTAGATCCAGAATTCCCAATACTGCAAGAGAAACAAGAACAAAGTTGGAAACATTCATAAATCAGGCAGATGCATCCCAGAATGCTTTTGACTCATAATCAGATTATTAATCGCAATGTAAATATAAATTTCAAGCTCTAAAAGTATTGAGTTTTCATGGTTTATTCTTTTCCCTAAACTTTCTGTTGAGCTGCATCCTTGGTACATCTCTTGCTTCTTCCCCCAGTACTCGAGCTTGTTCTTTCAAAACTAACACTTTAAACAGATAAACAATGTCCATAATCTAGATTAGCAACTTCATGTACTGCTCAGATCACAATAAAACAGATCCTGTTTCACTACATCTTAATTCTATGTCAACAAAGTCGGATTAAAAAATTGATGAGTTCAGAACAACCTTAGGAAACATGAACTGTTAGCTCAGAACAGAGTCAAAGAGATGAAAAATCATACTGCAAACACAAGCAATACACCACAATTTAGCAGGCACATGCTCTCATGTATGCAAGAAGAGACAATTGCAACTATTAAACAAGAAAAGATATTTCTTTATCAAGTACATTGCCCATGGCCGATCAGAAAGCGTAAATTTTTCCTCATAGTTAAAATATCATACTTCTTTGAAGATACTATATATCTTGATTTTAACATGATAATATTAAAGACATCAAAGAATCTCACTGCAGTGAAAAAAGCCAGGAAGAAGAGATGAAGAAACAGGGGGGAGAGGGAAAAGGAAAAAAGAAACTAATGTTAGCTTAACATGTGGCACTTCCCAAAACTGTAAACTTTTTAGGGCAAATAAAGAATATAGAAATGTCTAACAAGTCACCAAGAATTTAAGAAAAAGGAAACAAAGCGGGAAAAGAAAGAATAAATATAAACTTGACTTCTTAATGCTTCCAGAAACACTTTCTTCCATTTAGACTAAGGAAAGGACAGAAAAGATGGAAAAAGTTCCATAAACCTCCATTTATTTTCGTGGTTATGTGTTGCAATATTCAACATGCAACAACATACAGAATCACAATGAACCCACATCCATCAATAATCAACATAAGGAATCACAAACCTCCAGTAAGCTTTAGTTGTCAATTGTCATATGTCACAATTTCAAAGTAAAGCTACATAAATACAAAACCAGCAGCAAAAGCAAGTTCATAAACTGACCTAATGCATGCCTCAGAGCTACTTGAATGCAACGACAGTATTGAGCCACAGCCTCCAAATTTATCATTTGCACAGCCATAATATACTTCCTTTATACCTAAAAAGGGTAATAGTCATCTAATCATAAATAAGCAAATTTTAGGAAGTTCAGTTTTATTTCAGTATGATCAACAGATGTACCAATGATAGATAATGCTGCTGCACACATTATGCATGGTTCACATGTCACATAAAGGGAGCATGCTGAAAACTTCTCTGCAACTTCTGCAGCCGAAAATCCAGTCCTCTGCCACTGTACAAGAAGAACATCAAGAGCTTCCATCTCTGCATGTCTCGTTGCCTATAAAAGCACAAGGAGAAAAACAACACAAGCATGTCAAACTTAGGAGCTTTGTTAGAGAGACAGTTACTCATAGTGCAGTTTCAACATAAATTTAGGAAAGGCATTTCATGAGAAATATTCTCCTTCAAGTTAACTGATTAAGAGTATATATAAGATTGAATAAGGCATATACTACATGAAGTCAACAAGTTTTGCTCACTTGAAGTTGCTGAGAATCTCACAAGGAAAAAGGCTTCTTATTGGATTAACCACCTCCACCTTTTCTAACAGTATTTTTAAATATACCCTTGTAGCAAAGGTGCCTTTGTTTTTTTTATTAATCTCCACAAGATACTAAAAGGGTCAAATATTTTTCACATCAACTATTCATTACTATGCATGAAGTCATTTATAGTAATGTATTGCCACCTCATGACTATAAATTATTACAGAAATAGACTATTAGATAAGAGATGATCCCTACCTGAAATCAGGCTTAAACTAGTTGTGTAAATGGTCATTGTATGAAGAACTGTGCCCAAGGAGCAGGTTCTTACATCTTAAAAGGCAATACAATGGTAATAATGCATTTTTAGACCATATAAGTACACCAAAAGTCTAGCTGAAAACAGCCCAAGAGAACAATGTTAGGAACTTCACAAATGCAGATAAACACCGTAATATTATTCGAGACAGAGCACAATGGTGAACGAAAAAAGTAAAACTTTGTGCATAATATTCTTAGCCATAGCCATATTTTATGAAGAGTAATGAGAAAAAAACCCCTTACAGCCTAATAATGCATGGAAAATTCCACTTATTAACATATTTGATAAGATATTATTTTATTATCTAATTAATACATATTAACGGAGAAACATAAAATGATCAACAATAAACTACAAGTGGATAATTCGAGGGTATTAATTCGGAACAATAACAAAGTGCCGTTGGCCAAAATTTATAGGAGGGGGTGGAGAAGCAATGATAAACATACATTCCGTGTCTCGTTAGTCCGGTTTCTTCCTGCCGCAACAACATTCCCATCCTTAACAATCACACAGCTGTTCAATCAAAGAGTCCAATCTAAAATCATTCGCTAATTAAGACTAAAATCCTAATCATCTTAATTAGAAAAAAAAAAAAACATATATGAAATGCACCTCATTACGGACAACCATTATCTTACCCAACTGGAACTTCAAGGCTGTCCAATGCAAGCTTTGCCTTGTATAGGAAAAGCAAATAGGTCTTGTTACTTGTTAGGAGAAAAAAATATAAGAATAAGAGTCAGAAATTCTTTCATGCATGCATGCATATAGGCAAATGCAAGAGGAAATCAGCATCACGTTTATGTCAGTATCAATATGCAGTTACTAAGGGAACAAATGCATGTCCCATAGTTATATGATCAAGTTCTTGCAGGTCCTGTACAATATACTGGTCACTAACTTCCAAGCAATGATTATCACCCCATGCTCATTTAGTATTAGAGATGCAAATCCCACCTAACGGTTAAACTGATATGGCTCTAACAACAGTACAGCAAAAACAAGAACTAATTTGGGAAACTACATGTTGCTCATTCTAGTGTGTCCTATCATGGGTATCTCAGAAGCTTTTCTCTCATTAATGAGGTTTCACTCAAACATTCAAGAAGCTTCCTGGAATTTTAGCTTCTGGGTCATTTTCCTTTACACATGCTATGGTAGATAAGGATAAAGAGAGATCCCTAAAACTATAGTGAAGCCCCCAGAAATCAGAATTGACCATCAGCTTCTTGTGATTTGGTCTTTGTTTTACCGAATAACTTTGGTAAATTCTGTGTTTCTCTTGATTTTTTCTTTTTCATATCCACAGGCCACAAGACCAAAGAAAAATCCACCTAACTAGTTATCCAAGGGCACAACCGATGTTCATATTATTCTCACGCTCCAAGTAAACTTCGTTTTCAATTCTCCCTAGGTGCCAAAGTCAACAAGTGGCAAAAGGACTGTCCTATCCCAGTGATCGAAGTTTCTCATAATTCAATTGTCCTGGCAAAGCTATCACCCACTGCACATTTTTATGACAGGCAAATACTACACATCTGCATTTCCTAGACACCTCAAAAGCACCCAAATCTCTCTCTCTATTTTTTCAGTGTGGCTGGTTGTCTGCTTCAATGAATGGTTTTGCGTGAGGGAGTTCCCAACCCTATAGCACCCGGATTGGCTCAGTTTTTCACCTGAGAAAGGGACTGAACCAACCCATGTACACCCTAATTCCCTTTGTTTCCCTCTCCCTCACTTGCTTTTTTAGTGTTTTTTTTCCTTTGAACCTAGACTTCACCTACTTCTTTCAATAAATTGCCACCTACAAAAACAAAGAAATAAAAGCTATACCTTCTAGAAACTGTTGTTGATTTTGCAGCGTGTAGCTTCGATTACCAATGGATTCACTATGAAGCATCCACAGGCAGCACTTACAAAGAAACACTTATTCAACGTCTCTTGAATAAATTCAACTATACATTCTTCAAGTTCCCATGCAAATTGTAGCACCAACGAATCGGATTCAAAATTCAGCTCAAGTATTACATGAACTCAATACAATCCGGCCGTGCCAGGTGTTACCTGATCGATAGCAAGCTGCATAAAACCCAGAACCTCAGGAGAGAATCGTTCACCCAAAGCTACATTATCAGTTTCCATGGCTTCGGTCAGTGGTGGTAGTCTGTCACCTCCAATCGCCGGTCTCCGTCACCTTCGATTTGCTAGGCTGTTTTAGGAAGAACTTCTTCTGTTCGTCGCATCCATTGGTAGGTGGCTATCTTCCTTTCGTCAAAGCTCGCTGGTGTCGGATGAAAGATAAGCAGTCATGATATTGAAAGTGGCGTCAACGGAGTTCGAAGTTTGCCTATGGTGGAGGAAAGGAAGGAGCTTAGAACGGGAAAATCAAAGAAAGAAGGTGGAGAGAAAGAATTAAAAACAAACAAAAAGAATAAATAGAAGAAAGAATTACAGAATTTTATTTTAGGATATGAAGAAGTTAACCAGAGTTAAAGGGGATTTAGCGAAAAGAAAAAAAAAGGTTAGGTGGTCATGCTTATTCATAGATGAAAATAGGTGATTATTTATGAAGTATGTGGTCCTTAAAGACCTATTATATTTCTACTATGATTGAAGGGTAGTTTGGGAAAGATGAAGATACATTTTGACTTAGGCTCTGTTGTTTGGAGGAAAATATTTTACCGGAAAACTTTCTTTCCATTTTTCAGTATTTGGTGTGGGAAAATAAGCTGGTCAAAGGAAAATGACTTCGATCAACTACCAAGTTCAAAAATAAGGAAAACAACTTCCTAATTTAAAAAGTGGAAGTCATATTCCAAAAAAGTACGAGGACTATTCTTACCCAAGTTTTTGACGGATGACTAAGTATAAAAAGTATAAAAAGGTTTCTTTCAGGCATATGCACTCAAGTGAGGATGCATTTTCAATTGAGGACCACATAATTCTATACACAAAGCTAGCATAAACTGCTCAAATGGGAAAATTGTGTTTCGATGTGATTCACAATTTGATGTGCACCAAACTAGCAGTACGTCATCACACACCAATATAAAGCAGGACAAGCCCTCTCACAAATCATGTTCAACCACGAATGAAGCAGGACATTACGCAACACCAGTGCAGTCACAGAATCTGTAAATTCTCCGCTCGTTCAAGGTCCTCTCCACATCATCTCTAATATACTGTCGTCATCTCTAGCACACATTCACAAAAGACGATTATCCGATGAGATATTCAACTCAATTTTCTTTGGGGAATTTTAACGAACACCTGGCGGGCTAATCGTAGCAACCACCACAAGATGAAATTACCCCCCCAAATTCTAGCCATCTCCATAGAATCAGTCCCATTACACAAATCTAAACACCCCCAAACATCATAAACTCAAAATCATCATATAAAACGGCTTAAGAGACTCAGACATGTGGTGGGTCGCCAAGATCAGAACAACAAAGAACAAGAAGAACGACCGCCGCGGGGAGGGGGGGGTGTGCGTGCTCGAGTCAAGGACAGTCAACAACGAAAGAGACAAGAAAGACGCACCTGTAGCGCTCAGCTCAATGGCACACCGCAGAGAGAGAGAGTCGCAGTGGCAGAGGAAGAATCGTGAGGGAGGGAGTCGCTGTGGAAGACAGCCGCTAGAGTTTCGAGGAAGAGGGTGGAATCGTGAGTGAGGGTTGACCTTACTTTCGAGGTCAACTTTTAAGGTTTGCTCCATCAAAGGCAATGCAATTTCCTAAACGGATAATATCACGAAAAATCTTAAATTAGTATGTCTATGATAAATTTATCACATATTAACTTTCTAATCACAAAAACTCTTAGAATGGTACATCTGTGACTAATTTATTTCAAACTAATTTTTTGACAGCCAAAAACTCCAAACAGGTACATGTAACAAATTTACCCTTTGTTAATTTGGATTAATAGTACGAAAAATTACAAATTGATAAACATGTGATAAACGGAAAGGTAAAACCTCACACCGTTACATATGTCAATTGCCACGTCTTATCAAACTCAGTAATTTGACAGTAAAATTTAACGGAAACTAACGGAGAGTAAATTCATCACAGGTGTACCAAATTTGGGTTTTTGATGGTCAATAAATTAATTTAAAGTAAAATTGTCACAGGTGTACGGATTTTCGTGGTATTAAATCTTTCCTAAATATACTCTATGGCCATCTTGATGTCACGATATCGAGTAAGAGCATGCATTCGGTCCGGTTCAACTCGAAATCAAATCAAACTATTGATTTTAGGTTCTCAGAACAAAAATTACTTTTGAACCGATCGAGAATCGAACTTGGTCTTCAACATAAATAAATAATATAACAACTTGACCAGCATATGATGAATGTTTATATTTTATTATACGAATTTTGAGATTTTACACAATATAAAATAAAATAAAAAAAATTAGACTCGATGATTCCGTTCCCGATTTCAAAATTTTGGAACTAGGATCGGTTTCTAATTATCTCCCCTAATATTGGGAGAAGTCAGGAAAGGTGCTATTAGAATGTGTTTCGTGCCAAACAACATTTCTCTCAAATTGCTCCCCAATGCACTTTTCGATTACGATTTACCAAGCAGTCTTTGCAATTTCCTAAGGCTTTTCCCAAAAGCCGAAAAACTAGAGAAAATACCATAACTTCACTATCACCAAGCCAGCATAAAAGAAAACAGCCGGTAGGCAGAAAAAGACCATACAAATATTAAGAGCATAAACAAGGTAATTATGTATATCTATCACCTTCCCTATCGATTACTTCTTGCCTATAAAATATCTCAGTTCTTTTATTAGTTTTCTCGGCAATCAAGCTACAAGGAAAATAGTTGAGATTGAGATGAAACAGTCGAAGTTGATAATAGAAAACTATGGAAAACGGTGAAATGTGAAGTCATTCATAAAAGTTTACATTCGTGATGCTAGCACCGTTTTTTCGAGTATATAGCACAACACGAATTTCACAATTAACATGTTCTATTGCTCGAGGGAAAAACATCAAAATCCTTTGAATTGAATATGATTTAAGTAGTACCTGACTCGCTTTGTCCGATTTGTCAGAAGACCCCCGAAACTACTGAACATATTTTCGCCCTCTGCAACTGGACCAAAGCAATCTGGTCGATCGAAAACTAAATGTGCAGGCATCTCCGATGAACATAACAAGGATAGACAAATGGGTAGATGAAGTGCTTATATCAAGAGCCGGTCCTTCTTCTCAATTCTATGGCTAATTTGGAAAGAGCAAAACGCATTTGTATTCCGAATAGACGATCCAACCCGGAAACCATTGTTGAAGATGCCCAAACACTAACCAACACCTTCCGCCGGTGGAACATTCATGCGCCGAATCGGTGGACGGAGAAGAAAATGCTACCCGAGCAATGGTCGCCACCAGCAAAGAAGGGGGTATGGAGATTCAACTTGGATGGGTCTTGGATCGACGGCTCAAGAGGATCGGCGGCGGGAGTGTGTCAAGATTAGGGAGTGATAATGGCTGGATTTGCAAAGAATTTTGCAGCTTCTTCAGCCCTTGAGATCGAAGCTCTAGCGCTGAAGGAAGCGTTGGAGTGGCTGGTAAATACCACCGAACTTAGGCAAAATGGCGTGCTGCACGTGGAAGTTTTGACAAATAATGAAGCTATGGTTAAATTCTCAGCTGAACCAAGCCAAAGCCCATGGTACCTAAGGAGTTTTTTTTAGGATTGCAAAGAATTATTAGCTCATTTGAAAAGCGTTTCCTTAGCCCACTGCTCACGGGAAGCCAACAAAGTTGCATTGGACCGCGAAGGCCAATCGGAAAAGGATACTCCCATGTAATTGGCTATCTAAGCCACCCCAACACCTTTAGGATTTATTATGCCTTGACTCTTGTCTTCAACACTTGTTAAGTACCACTTTGAATGAATGAACGAAATGGTATCTAGTTGGACCAAAATATATATATATATGATTTAAGTAGAGCTCCATTGTGTTTCCTCATTTACACTAGTTGTAAGTGCAGTAAGAAATCCTAAATCTCGTGCAATGTGTAATTGAGTTCTAAACTTTTCAATTGTTTCAATTAAATTGTATAACTTCTTTAAAAAGTGCACTTAAACCTTACCAATAAGGGTTAATACCAAGAAAAATCCCAAACTGATACACTTATGATAAATTTATCCTATGTTAGTTTTCGTTAAATTTTATTGTCAAATTACTAGATTAAATGACACGTGTCAATTGATAGATGTACTAGTTTGGGGTTTTACCCTCCGTTTATCACAGGTATACAAGTTTGTGATTTTTTTTGTATTAATTCAATTTAACGGAAGGTAAATTTGTTACAAGTGTACTATTTTGGGGTTTTTTGCGATCAAAAAATTAGTTTTGGGTAAATTTATCACAAGTGTACCAATTGAGGTTTTTTTGTTATCAAAAAATTAATTTTTGGTGAATTTGTCACATATATATCAGTTTGGGGTTTTTTGTGGTATTAACCCTATCAATAAATAGCACCTAAAATTACTATTATGTCACTCAAAAATGCTCATATGGCATCCTTAAATTGCACTTTTCAACATAATTTTAGACTTAATTGTTTTTTTGTTATAGAGACTAAGGACTTAATTAAACCAATTGAAAGGTTTAGGATTTGATTGTACATTTTGATAAACGTTTAGGACTTAATTGAATTTAGGACTCGATTTCATTCAGTAGATAAGATCCGGGACTTGTGATGCACTTTCATCACACCCATCATTTTACAAATTTAGAAATACAAGATTGAACAAAATGTACGTGAGATATGAGGATTATAACATTCGAATCGAGCCAAAAGATAACACCATCCTCTAATTTTGGACTACTTGTAACTCTTTCTCTTGACACTTCCAATATGAGGGATCAAAATCATCATACTAGCAAACTGTCAAGTTCTTTGTTGAGCTCACTGTCTTTTGACTAAAACCGATTCCCAGTTCTCTCTGCATCCAAAAGACAATTTGAAGGAGCCAAGCTTTGACAGTTCAAGTTCAGGTGAAGCTCCGAAAGTTTCCACCGGTCCAAGTCCGAAAATACTCGTCCCGAAGATTTGTTGATCAGAATCAAGAGAAGCAATGCCACGTAATTTTTCAACAAGGCTGTCATTCCCTTTGGCCAACATATATACTGTTGTTAGAAGGAATAGCAAACAAGGTAATTCGCACCAACCAAAACACGATCCGGTGAAAGTGCACCCGCTGGAGCAAATAATCTGGAGTAACTACGTATCGAATTGTTCCCCACCCTTAGCAAACTGCTGCTGCTAACTTCTTGGGTCGAGTATTTTAACGTCGTTTTCTGTGACCCGTGTCTCAAAACGGATTTGAGAGGAACTCCTGAGTCCCACATACAACAGACTCCAAGCACTTGCAGGCTTGAGGGCCATGAAAGCGCGACAAGAGTTATGATAGCTCATAAAAATGTTGACCAAGCTAAGTAACGAGTTCATTTAAATAAAGATGCAGAAGTACCCGGAAGTAACAGCTGACTTTATAGAAATAGGGAAGGGAACATGAGGATGGTCAAGTTCTTCGGCACTAGCCTAGTCTCAAAGGTAACAACTGAGACCTCAAAGAGTCGAGACCCTCCTTGATAAACTTGTAAATGCTGCTGTACTACTAAACCTAGCTTCTACAGCTATAGAATGCAATGGATACCGTTCTTAGCCATGAAACAATCATACCGATTTCCCAGGTGACTGGAAAATCCAAATCCGAAAAATTATGTCCTGGATCCAGATATGACATCAAGCAATCCACAGCAGTTCATCCATGAAGACCTTCGCGCCACTCTCAGGGTCATTGGTACCTCAGGCTGCAGAGCAACATCGCAACAAGTTATTAAGCGAATTCCATTTCTGAAGCATATATTCAAGAAGTGTCATGAAATTGGAGGCTACAATTGATCAAAAACAAGTGAAGTACCGGGTTCTCTGCCGAATTCACCACCGGCAAACTCTCACTCTCTCCATTGTAGGATTCCTTGGCGGACTCAAGCCTCTCGATGTAGATGCTTGTGCTCTCCAACTCTTCCTCGGTTTCCTCTTTCTTGACAACCTTAACTATAAGAACACCGTTAGATTTTAACTCGCTTCCTTGGCCATCAGTTTCATCACCAACAGCTTCCTCAACATCCCTCCGCTCGATCTGTAAATCAACTCCGGCTTCCACCTTTTCAACAATCTGAACAACCGCATTTGACTCTGGAGGTTTGTTCTTAGACGCGTACAGAGGAGACGGAGATTCTCCACTCTTCAAGTCCTCATTGCCTTCATTGAATGAGTTAGGATGGTCCTCAGATGTTGGGGAATTATCCTCGGCACCGCCATCGCTATCCTTCTCGTTTTCACTTATCAGATCACCATTTTCTAATCCCAAAAGTACCAAAGGAAAAGGAAACGAATTAGTCAAAGAAATCGCCGAATATCTAATGCCAAGATCAAACTAAAAAAGCAAAAGAAAACTCAGACAGGGGTTAAAAAGGTTACAAGAAAAATAAAGATCGGGATATTTTGAAAGATAGGCCATCAGATCAGCCACACACAGAGCCAAATGAACAAACATCTAGCGAACCAAACGACATTGACAAGTACCCATTGACAGAAAAGAGAAGGTGAGAGGTGAACAATGCTAATTGATGATTGATCGAGAGAGATCACCGTGAGGGTTGCTGGTGGTTTGGCTCTCCAGTTCCTTCTTCTTCTTCCTAGCGGCTTTTCTCCTTTTTGCAGCTGAAGCCATGATGACCCTCACTCAAATCTCACACCCCACAAACTCTCTCTCTCTCTCTCTCTCTCTCTCTCTCTCTCTCTGTATGTCTGTGTGTGAGAGAAAACAGAGAAGTTTTCGTGAATACCGTGAATGAAGGTTTATAAGGAAAGTGGTTGGAAAGGCAGGTGGAGACGAGACCGTGGGAGTGGAACCTGCTGAAAGCTGTCATGTGCGTAGTGCCTGCAAATTTCAAATCTCTTTCCCTCCTCTTCCACTCGAAAAGCATCCGATGTTTCCACATAACAACGGCGTCGGCCTGGTTTCCCTAAAAAACCAATGTGAAAATTACCCACGAAACACACTTCAACTTCCAAAGTGTTTTAGGTCGCCGTTGCAAGAATAATGTGATATAATTGATCGATTACATAACCGGCGTCATCTGCATTTGATTTTATGTGGCACTTACATTTTAGAATTACTTACTTGATTAACTTGTTACATCACGTAACACTGTCGCTTGTTAGAGCCATCACATGAAAAAACTTATCACCGTAACTTTGGAGTTGTACGCATATACCTTATACTTTCAACGACTTTTATACTTTCATTTTGTTACATTAAACGTCACTTTTCAAAGTTTTCATATTAAAAAAATGTATAAAAAAATTCGTGTCGAGCCATTGCACACTAGGCACATTGAAACTCAAAGGCCCGGTCCAAAACCTTGAATGGAGTAAGCCCAAAATGCCAACCGGGGGCATTCGGGCTAGGGAATTCCGAGCTTTGGTGTTTTCATTTGCACCCTTAGTCGCATAAAAATCCTTTGGAGGGAATGAATCTTGGGAAGATGCTCTTGATGCCCCTTTTTTCGTTTCTCTTCTTTATGGTGTGAATTCTGTGTATGGAGTGTCATTGTTGTGGTTTGATGACTTGAGCTGACATATTTCGGTTTCTTGCGATTATATTGGCTGTGGAATGTAGAGTTAGAATGAGACTGCGGCGTCAGAGGGGCATTTTGCTTCTTGCTTTTAGTTTGTAAGTGATAGATAAGTGTGACAATTAGGTATAATTTGGCGTGACTTAGCTCAGCAACTGTTCGTTGGATTAGGTATGCAAGACATTGGTAAGTCTTCGAGCATGAAGGGTGGCGATGTTTCGTTTAATTAGCTCTCTCGAAGCATTGTCATTGTTGAGTTTTGTGTAGCATGGAGCTCCGGTGTCTGGGCTATTCCACTAGAGAGGTTTGATGGGAAGCGGAATAGGCGAAGCGGGTGTTTACGTACTGCTAATCGATGCAGTTATGATGTTCGCTTTATGAACTAAACCTTGTTTTTCGCAAGTTAAAGAATCTTGGATATGAATCAATTACCAAAATCCGGTTTTGTCGTTGGAACCGGTTCCAACATGTGATGCTACGACCTCAAATTGCTTTGAGAAGGAGATTTGACTCACAAAAATTATGATTATGTTATGCAAATGGTATGTGAAAACTTATGGCCCTGTTTGGTATGCGAAAAATTATGATTATGTTATGTGAGATACATTTCGTAAAAACTCTCTGTTCAGTAAACATGTTTCCATTCATTGCAGTGTAATTACATGTCATTCTGCAGTGATCAAAATTAGAATGAAACATGCTTTCAGAATTTCCGTTCCAGTTGAAAAGTTGAATCTGCATGAACAAAATGCATTTTCAAGAAAACAGAGAATGAAGACAGAACTATTTTCGTTTCCGTTTTCTGTGAAAATGAAAACTGAAAAACTTTCGCGAACAAAACAGCCCCTAACATGCAGTGATAAAATACAATTTGAATGGTACAGATCTTGATCGAGTTAACAGCAAAACCTTTAAATAGTAAAAACCTTCCCCGGCTCTGCGCCGCTTCGATCCCTCTGCCTATCCTCATCTAGAATCACCTACAAATAGCTTTGATATAATTCGCCATGTTACCTTAAGACAAGCGAGGGCCAAAAAAACAAGCTCTGAGATAAGTTCCGACGAAAGAGAAGAGAGCTCTGGCCAGCATGACCTAATCCCTAGCAGTTCTTCCTCATTCAATGCCAATAACACAATGGATGGCTCCTTCAATTGCCGGCTCATTCAATTTGATGTTGCTTAACCAGGCAAGATCAACTTCTAACAGGAAGAGGATCTCAGAACGGTTTCTTTTCGAAGGAAACCAGCCCGTGGACTCCGCCTTCAATTTGTGCAGCTCCTGTTCTTACCTGTAACAAAGCAAGAGCATAAGGGAACTGCACAATTATAAGCCTCATAAGCTCCTGTGAGAGGCTACGACCAGACCAAACAAGTACTCGTTTCACAAAAGCTTTCACTACAATAATGGGATGTTATGATCTAATTTCCATCTAGTACGACGTTTGGCTTTCAAGTGGTAAATCCAGCAAGAGGTACACAAATGCTAAACAGCGAAGTTCAGCGAATTCATCAAACAGATCCATTGACCTTTTGTAATCTAATATATGAAAGGACAGAAAGGACCACGTTTCTCTCAGGGTTCACTTATATTTGGAAGTGCCTTCTATTGCAACAGCATTCCAACAATCATGTTGAAATTATTCTAACAATCATTACCGGTTAAGAATTCTTCGCGATGATGATGCTCTTACATAATAAATGATGAACGGGTACTCTTATTGTCAACGTAAAATACCCCATATGATAGTGCCATTTTCCTCAGTTTCATTGATAGATTCCAAGCAACATTATTCACGAAGAAAAATAAACCAAAATAAACCTCTTCAGAAATCATAACAAACCTTCAAGCACTAGTCAAAATTCAGACAACTTATTAAAACATTGAGAAAAGTAAAAACCAAAACAAACCTCTTTAGAAATCATAACACTGTAGAATGGCCATACCTCTAGCCTCAGCGTTGTTTTTATCATGTCATGAGCTTCTCTTAAAGACTGAGCTCCAAGATCTTGGAAACCTTGCTTAACAGCTTGCATTGTATAAGGGACAAACTTCAAGACAGACCCTTTATCTGCAACTGCGCCTACAACACCCTGTGCAATCTTTAGTTTGGATGTGTCACCCAAGTATCTTGCATCACTCCCTTTAGTCATAGCCTCAAGTGAACCCATGCCTCGGTACTTTTTCAATCGGCGACCATCCTGAATAAACCAAAAGACACTTTACTAATATAGGACAGAATAAATCATCCATAGGAACCAAATGAGTCCACGCAAAGATGATAAATACAAACTTATCAGTTCAATTTTGAAAAGGTTTCTGCTGAAACAATATTTAAAAAACACCAAGCCCATAACCAACTTTTCATATGACATGGTTGCAGTCAATGACAGCCAAATCAACACTTAGACTAAATCAATTTTATGCATTTGTATCCATTACGTGATGCACATGGTAGTTAATCTTGCTAAGAAGCTAGATAAAAGCAAAATTTTAACCCAGTAACGATCACGTCACATGACGTACAACCTGACATGTTCCACAAAAGGATAGTCATATAAGCAGTACTTTGCTGGCTCATGGAAGGCAAGAGGTAGCTGTAAGTCTGTGTAAACAGAACTTAAGCAGTACGAAGTACGCCCGACCATATTAATCCTTGCAGAAACGTCAAATGATATATTATTTATGCGTATGGAAATGTTGTTGGACAAAAACTAGTAGAATTCTCAGCTTGCCTTTGAAGTGCTTCTGGGAGATTCCAATCAAATTTCTGCAAAAGATATAACGTGTATAATACCCTTGGCCAAAATTCTAGTTTCAATAAAGATCTACAACCTCAGTTCTTGCATTTATTTCTTCAAATGCTAGAGGATACAAAAGCCAGAACAAGTGAAAGCTTCATTTTGCAACTCTGACAAACAGAATATCTATATATAGGAAAGTGATAAAAAATGATATCTAGAGAGCATTTGAAAAAGAATGCTCAATTGACCAAAAGTAAATCAGAACTGATGCAGAAAAACAAAGACAAAAGACTCAAAAACACTTGGGCAGGAAGTTCAGAGTTCTTCATCTGACCACATCACGTGTCAACAGAAAAAGAGATATAAAGGAAACAGAGATCATTTTTCACCAATGAGAAACGTGTGGCACCTTATTGAGAGAAGAAAAATTACGCATAAACGGTAGTAACTACAAATTACCTGAACCACATAAGCACCAGGAGCCTCAGTACTTCCAGCTAGGAAGCTTCCCATCATCACAGTGGATGCCCCGAGGGACAAAGCTTTGACAATGTGGCCAGAGTTTGAAATGCCACCATCAGCAATGACTGGCACACCACATTGAGAAGCAAGGGATGAAACCTTATAGACAGCAGTAGCCTGAAAAGTTTACATGATTGAAGTAATGAAAGAAATCTTAATTAGAATGAGTGCTTAAGGGAAGCAATTTGAAGGAAGATTAACGAAATTACTTCAAAACATTTACTTGTCCCATCATCTCTGCACACAGTAATTGGAAAACAAAGAATTATTCTATAAGAAGTTACTCTATTATATTGAAGCGTAAAAAAAAAAAAAAAAGACATGCCAAGTGGCTTTACCTGCCCACGTCCAACGGCGCAGACCTCCTGGGTGGTACAAATAGAACCAGACCCCATGCCAACCCTCAAACCATCAACCCCAGCCTTGATCAAATTATCTGCCTGGTACATTGTGACCACGTTGCCACCAATGACATCCAACTCAGGGTATGTTTTCTTCACATACTTGATCATATCAATCTGATAAAGGGAATTTCCCTGAGAACTGTCGAGCACCACCACATTGACACCAGCCTTGACGAGATGCTGCAGCCTCTCCTTATCGGCTTCTCTCGTCCCGATTGCTGCTCCCACCATCCACTCTCCATTGGGATCCACTGAACCCCCTCCCACCAATCTGGGGTAGCCTCTCAACATCTCCACATCCTCTCTCCGTGCGACATCTACTATCTCGCCTCCCTTCACTATCGGCGTAAATTCCTTCCCTGCCTTCTCCTCAAAGTAGGAGATCATTTTTGCCAAATCACAATCCCAAGGGGCAAAATCAGAGGACTTGACCATGCAATCAACCAGCCGTGTTTCCTTGTCTGCGAGGTTCATCCAATCAGACTTGGCCACATAGCCCACCAACTTTCCACGGCAATCACCGGAGTCTGTGACCAGGATGCAAGGAGTGTCAGCGAAATCCTCAAGGGAGATGATGGAATCGGATGGGGATCGAAAGACAGGATTGGAGAGGACCGGCAAGCAGGAGGATTTGGCCGCCTTGATTACGGAGGCTTGGTCGGAGGGAGGGATATTGGCGTGAATGATGCCGATGCCCCCAAGAGCTGCCATGGCTCGGGCCATGGACGATTCCGTGACAGTGTCCATCGGTGAGGAGACACATGGGATGTTGAGCGAGATGTTGCGGGTGAGCTTAGTGGAGAGGTCAACCTTCTCCACCGGGAATCCTATATAGCCCGGGAGGAAGATGACATCATCATATGTGTAGGAGTAACCCTGATGGAACAGCTTCTGCGCCGAATACCCGTCCTCGAACTCCATTATCCTGCAGTAGTCAAAACCCACTTTTGAGATTGACTAAACATGATCATAGAACTCAAGAATAGACCTGCCTGTTTGGCAGGCTTCCTTCAAATTCAAAATCAAATTACAAACTTTCCGATAATTCTATAACAATAACAAGCAGACTCTGAACACTATTATAAAGGATAAAAATTTGTTATAGTTACAAAATTTGAGTGAAGAACAACATTAACATCTTTACTTGTCTCTTACAATCTGCTCTGCTTATCATAGCATCAAGCTCTGTCCGCTCATTATCTGAATAGATTAATTCAATCTAAAGCCTGCTCTTTATGATCATCCAAAGTTCTCGACCTCCATTGGGACAACAAATATATGAGCTAACAGCCGAAACACTACAGAACAACGAATGTACGAACCAAAAAACCTCGGCATGTCAGATACGAGCGACAGCAACAGAAACTTGACCCACAAAACAACAGCTAGAAATCAGCAAAAAGATCTCAACCCACAAAAGAACTGAAGAAAAAGACAAGGAAAAACCAATTGATACTTGAGGTAACGCCGGAGTAGCAGTGGGCCGGTGGGTCGCCGCCGGTGAGCTCGGCTGCGGTGGCTCCGCCGCCGTGACAGGTGGCGGAACGACCGGAGGAGAGGCGGAAGAGATGGGATTTGGGAGACGTGAGAGACGAGAGTTCTGAATCAGCGGGTTTTTATGTTTTTCGTAGGGTTTACATTTTCTTTTTCGTATCGATATTTCGCCAGAAAAAAAAAAGAAAAGAAAAAGGAAGGGAAGGTTGATTTTTTAAACGGAAAGCTGCCCAGGCGGGAAGACGACAATAATAGCGTACGGCCTTCCGCCCCCCACCCGTCTCCCACTTTTGTGTATTATATATATTACATTTTGACAAGGACGGAGCGATTTTATTGAAATTTTTTTTTATTTTTTATTGGACTGTTATCTGATGGAAACCTAATATTTGTTAGGAAAATTTTCAAATAAGAGTTTGAAATACACTCATTTTCTCAAATAAAAGTTTGAAGTGAACCTCGTATTAAATAACGGTTTAAAGTGACCAATTGTCTTAAACATGAGCCTAAAGTGGTCAAATTGTCTCAAGTAAGGATTGTGGCTGGCCGGTGACTATTTCGGTCATTGGAGTAGGGGTATTTTAGTCAAAAGATTTGAAGTATATTTTTTAAAATTTTTTTACTTTCTTTTTCTTTTCTTTTCTTTTTCCTCTTTTTCTTTCTCCCTCTTCTCTTCCCCGACCATTACAGGTGACCTTCACCGGCCTTAAGCGAGGGCCGCCCTTGCCGGCTTCAGGCGAGAGCCACCCTCACCTGGTCTAGACCCTTGCTTAGGCAGGAGAGAGTCGCCTTCACCTGGGTTGGGCAAGCGAGGGCGGCCCTCGCCTGAGTATGTTGACCTCCGCATGGCCAGCGGCGGAAAGAGGAAAAAAAAAAAAAGGAAAACAAAATTACAGAAAAAAAAAACAAAGAAAGGAAAAAGAATTTCAAAAAAGTAAAGAATGAAAATGCTCTTTAGCCAACAAGGTCAAGCCATTTTTCTAGGCTCTTATTTGAGACAAAATTCATTTCAGACCCTTATTTGAGAAAATGATGGCACTTCAGATTCTTATTTGAGACAATGTCCACTTGATGTATTTATTTGAGAAAATGATGACACTTCGTACCCTTATTTGGGATTTTCCCTATTTGTTGTACAAAAATGACCCCAATCACGATGTAAAAATCAATTTTCTCTTGGGAAGATCCTTGTCAAGTGCGAGCAGCAACAGTTACAAGGTGATTTTGCACCCTTAAATCTACGAAACCAAGTGAGGAAGATAGTAACCCCCATGATCTAATTTCAAATTGAGTCTAGCTTCTTACTTAAAAGATCAATATACTAAAAATAAACTGATATCAAAGGTGATCACTAATATCCCTAAACTAAAAGCCACGTTAACTAAATAAAACTAAGCCACGTCTAGTGCTAAAATAAATGAAAAACCTAATCACCAACTTGCTTCCAAACTATTTTCTGAGTTTAAAATTTTTTTTGCCAATTTTTTTAGTTAATTTTTTTAAAATTTTTTTGATTTGTCTATAAAGAGTAATTTTATTTATGATTGTATTAAGGCCATCTAATTCTATATCATAATATATTCTAATTCTATTTCTAGTCCAATTTAATCCAAACATGAAAATTTGTTAAACATACTTCACTTGTGCACATATGAAGCCCTATTTCTCTTTCATTACTTCTACTTTATTATTTCTTTTTCTTTCCTAATCCTTTTTCTCATCGTCTTCCTCGCAATACCGATACTTTTCATCGCCTTCCTCGTAGTAAGAGAGCACCCAAAACACGATCAACGATCCATCTACCAAATCATCCAAGCATCAACCACATATTCATCTCCCTTAATCTTCCTATTACTTGTTATCAAATCTCCACCCATCATCGTCCGCCACACAGTCACCAACATACGCCGGCCACGGCCTCCACAGGCGCAAGGAACAAAACAGGGACGTGATCGGATAAAGGGATGCGATGAACAAACCTGACCAATCGAGCTTATAAATTGACCCTCGGACCGTCGATTCTTGAGTCAGTTCCTCGCCTGATGACCATCATTGAACGCAGCAGGAAGACATGTAAACGCCGAGCAAGCACAGTCAATAAGAGAAGTTGTTCCGATTTGGTCTCAGGTGGAAATAAATGCGGCAGAAAATCATGCTTAGCCATCAACAAAGAGTTGCAATCATGTGTGACGTATCATTATACACTCAAAACGAGTCAGGATTAAGGACCAATTTGTACGGATCCAGTTTTGGACATTTTGTCGAACATGTTATGTGCGTCACAAGAACAGAGGTAAACACGGAACTTGGTCCGAATACCATAAAGTCGGCTATGATTTAAAGTTATTTCCTCGTACGCTTATCGGTGGATCTTGAAGTCAGAACGTAATATAACAAAAGGGGCCGAGGTTACCTTGCTGAGGAGATGAGATGGTCTCAGCTGCAATCACTACTAGTCCAGCTAGTGCAAGGAAGATGATCCGGGAAACGTCGCTTGTGAAGATGAGCAACGGGTATGGAGTGTCGGATTCAAATAACTTGCTTCGAGTCTCCAAGACCGAGAACAAGGCAGAACAGGGCACTCTTTGCGGCGGCCATCACTGACAGAGACGAGAAGCGCTTCGGTGAAAGGCAAGGATCAGCAAGGCAGGAGAACTGCAAAAAAAACGCTCTCTGCTCAAGCTTTTTCCGTGTGCATGCTCGTAAATGGCAGGTCTTTAATAGGCTTTGGTCTTGTCAGCTTTGTATAGAGCCACGAACCAGCAAAAGCCCCTCCTTTCTAACAGCACCATGTTCTAAGTGACAAGGAAACTACCTTGAATAAGTTAGTCAAAACTTCAAAAATTCCCCGTACACCATATAAATCCATTAACGTAAGATGCAAGCGATAGTCTCATAAATTTCGATTTGGCGTTCGTTAGAGGACATAAGAACAAGAAAAAGAAAAAGAGAAGGGCCGAACAGAAGGTCAATACCATGGATTTTAGAAGACTGTTTGATGGTTCAGACAAGCAAGAGATGAGAATCACAAGAAGTTTTGAAGTTTTGAAGTCGTTATTGTCTTCCTCGAAAAGGACATCCCTAAATACCAAACCCATATCATATAATCAGGTTTCATCACCATTCTCCGTATCACAATTTTCACCTTCTTGCTCAATAGATACGACTCGGCTCTTCTAGGCTTCATTGTGCCGAACCCTCATGGCGTCGAGATAAGCTTTGCCGTTGAGCTCCCTTGATAGATAGCCGTTCAGATATTCTGCCACTGTTATCCTCTGGAACATTGCTGGGGTCTCCGGGGTGATGAGGCTCGGCGTGCGACCAATCTTGGCATCGATTCTCGGACTGAAGAACGTTGCAGTGGAGATCCTCTCTTTCACTGCATTCACTGTCGCTTGATGCTCGATGCTCTGGTAAATCCCATTCGTTATAATCTGTTATCGGCCAATGACGGGAAGGCTTTGAGGATGAGACAATGAATCATCATCAACATGGTCAAATGAGCAATTTGATTTTGCAAATACTATTACCTCAACAATGTCTCCAACATTGATGATGCAAACACCAGGGAGAGGTTTCACAGGAACCCACTTCTCATCTTTCTTTATCTGGAGGCCCTCCATTACGTTGACCTGGAGGAGGATGGTAATGGCGTCGCCGTCAGAGTGAGAGTTGAGGTCTATCACGAGTTCAGGTTGCGGACATGGCGGGTAATAGTTCATCCTCATCCCTTGCAACCCTTCTTCGAACATCCCCTCAAGGTCCTTTGCCTCCATTCCTAAGGCCTTCGCCATGAGGTAGAGGAGCATTATTGATGGGGTTTGCATTTCCTTCGAGTAGGCATCCAGATTGTCTTTACCATGTAGATAATTTTGTTCTTTAGGCAATAAGGTGATATTTGGTAACAGGACCCTTGCAACAAGAAAGGTATTCATGTAGAAATTACATTGCGTGCTATGTTGACGTGATATCACTCACCTAATTAAGTAATTTCGTATATTATACATGTTGGCCCATGTGGTACAGTGTCATATGAAAGATTTATGGTGTCTTTTATGCGTATATTGCCCCTGGTACGAGAGAGAGAGAGAGAGAGAGAGAGAGAGAGAGAGAGAGAGAGAGAGAGAGAGAGAGAACCTGACGGGAAGAGGGAGTTCGGGGAACAAATGAGGCTTCCTGAGAGAAGCAGGGAGAGTGAGCATGTAGAAGATGTCAGCCCAATCAAGCTTTTGGTCTTCCGAGAGCACAAAGGCCTGATCCGAAGCCATCCGATTCGCCGTCTCTCTGCCAAAACTTCTTCTCTTCCATTGGCCCGTTGAATAGCTCTTCGGTACCCTTCTTCACTTTCTCTATCAACTTAAGGCTCACTTCATGATTTATCAGCTGAACAATTGTTAACATAGCACTATCATTCATGATTCACCCAGAAACAGGCAATCCTTTGAGATCAAGACAGAGAAAGCTCTGATCTCCCGAGTGATGAGTAATCAAGAGAACTCAATTTCAACATAAATCAGGAAAGTTGCAATAGATAAGTTTGTCTTATTAGCATTAATTAGAACATAGACAATCGAGGAAGTCACATCTTTAAATTCATCTAAGGTCCCACCTTTCTTCTGCCGTTGGAAGTTTTCAATGACCCATTTTTAGTATTCTGGTGAATTAGGGCAAGATGGCACAGATTATATCCCACTTTCTTGAGCCATTGAAATCAGGATGCGTCTGATGCAGAACTTAGATTTGGTAGGAGGCAAAAAGTGTGTCGGGGAAGCAAAATAAAAAAATTTCATATGAAATTCACAGACTACACTCAATTGTAAGTTGGACATCTATCTGTCCCTAGTGGCGAGATTTGCCAGCCCTTGCAAATGCATCTGAGTCACCCGTCATCAACATGGGTCTCGATTTTGAGAGCCTAAATGTATTCAAAGTTCTTGGGGCACTATGTGGATTTTAATCTCTTCCAGTCGATGGACTCCCATTTTTCTCTAAACAATTTCTTGAAGTTGTTCTGTACCTGAAAGAAGCCCCAGTCTTTGCACGTATGGTGCAGCTTCTTGAGCTCCGGCTTCGCGCAGTCCTCCGAAACCAACCTCCCCAAGTCGATCACAGGGACTTGAGGCAAGCCGGAACGA